CCGGGACCCAACCTGTAGGTGAGATATGCTTGGTTGTTTGGTTTATTTCGTTTAATCTCCGTTACTTAAATTACGCATGAGCAAATTGTGTTAGAAATACATGCAAAATGAGTGAGCCTATGTCATGCAATGATTCAAATTTGTAAATAATGCTTGTGATTTGTAGACACATATGGTAATTTCATCCACATGCATGACATGCTGCAAACCCAAATAACACAACAACCATACATATTCTCCAGACCCAGTAAACGCACAAAGATGTAGAGTCCGGGGAGAGTAAGATGTACGCAAACCTTATCTTTAACCCAAGGGGGTAGAAAGGTTGTTTCTTGAAAACTCTTGGCTTGCAGAACAAATAGATAAAAACGAGTATGGTAAGTTTTGATAGAGGATTAAACCCCAGTTGGAATTTGGAACTTAATTTACCATCACCCTATTGTTCGATTACCAGAATCGGTTTCTCTAATCCTGTTTACAAGTCCTCACAAAAATGAGCTCTCTACTCCTAGTGTTCGTTTAGTTTAGTTTGGTTTGGTTTTTATTGTTACCAAGTTGGATAAGAGAACGATATTGTTTTCTGAATGACGTATGCGAGTTCTTTAACGCATCTTTTTTTTTTATCATATATATGTATGTAGGTTGCATCACCACAAAAGAGCTTGGAACTGTGATGAGATCCCTAGGGCAGAATCCCACGGAGGCTGAACTCCAGGACATGATAAACGAAGTTGATGCTGATGGCAACGGAACCATTGATTTCCCAGAATTTCTAAACCTGATGGCAAGAAAGATGAAGGATACAGACTCAGAGGAGGAACTGAAGGAAGCATTCAGAGTTTTCGACAAGGATCAGAACGGCTTCATTTCTGCTGCGGAGCTGCGTCACGTGATGACGAATCTCGGGGAGAAGCTGACCGATGAAGAAGTGGATGAGATGATCCGGGAGGCGGATGTGGATGGCGATGGGCAAATCAACTATGAGGAGTTCGTTAAGGTTATGATGGCCAAGTAATAACCCGATGAGATCTGTTTCGTATTAGTATTATTTCCAAGGACAAAAAGGGTTAACAAACAGTATTAACCATCTTTTTTTCTGAAATGGGTTTGGGAAAACAAAAAGGATGATTATTCAATGGAACCCTTAAATCATGTTTAATTATGTATCTTTGACACTTCCCCTCTTGTAATGCTTTTTGGTATCCTAACCTGCAAATTGCGACTCTATTGTCCTTTTCTAGTAATTAATTGTTCAGTTGCTAGTGGCTGACCAAAACAAGCTGAAATGGGTCGAGAAATAAACATAAAGATTGTGTGTAGTATGACCATTTTCAGGTATTTTTTGGACCATTTTTATCTTTTGTTTGAACATAAATGTGTGGTTTATGAATATAGATTGCTTGAATCGAAATCAAGCAATCTTAATTGAAGATTAACACCAATGAGATGCACCGGATCAATTTCCATAAGAAACACAATAAATGACGTGAAATAAGATTAGGAGAGACCATTCCATTATTGACCATAACGCAAAGCCGTTTAAGAGTTGTTTCTACTTGTATGGGTAGAATAAATCACTTACGTATAAGACACTTTTATCATGACAGTGACAGATTTAAGTTTTACAAACCAACAACGTACAATTATAAGATTGAACTCGACCACCCTAATGCTTAAACGGATATAAAAACAACACGATCATTAACAACACTTTATGACCATATGAATGAAGATAATGGTTTTATTACTTAAAAGAATAAAAGCCATTCGAAAGCAAATGCTTTTAAAAATTGTCACCAATATTTTACATGTGTCACCGTCTTAAACCTCATCATTAATTAATGTTGTCAAAGTAGAAGTATAGTTGATAATTTTTAGCCCCTTGATATCTTTATCTTGGGATGGTGGAAAAATAAGTTTCCAGTTTTTTTACTGTTGAAAAAGATTTACTAACCACTGTAGCTTCAAAACCAGTCTTTTCTTTCTCAAGGATTACTTCAACTTGGATAGCTACGGTTGATGTCAAGACACACAATCTTTAAAGAAGGAACTTTCCTACATGGATGATGAAGAACATACCAAGATTTTCAAAGTGTTTGTTTTCGAAATTCTATCCAGCTCCAAGTTATGATTTGTCACATCGGTTGTATTGCTTCTGGGTTTTGTTGCTCAAGGTTCCAAGACGTTGTTTCGAGGCTCCAATAGTTGTTTGTGTCGTTATTGACTTGTTGAGATTTCTAAAAGCATTCCTCTTGTGGCTCTATAGTAGTCTACATCACTATTTCGGTTTTGAAGGGGTTCGAGATTTTTCATCTTCTTTTTGGTTCGTTGCCTAGGGGTCTCTGTGTATTTATTTATTTATTTTGTTATTTGTTTTTATAGAAAGTTGTTGTTTGAACTCTATATTTATTGTTATTAATATATTTGGATAATATTATGATATTTTCATACAATTAATTATTATGTTTTTAATGCTTGGTAATTTGTTTAATCATTATTATAGTTTTAAAAATATGAAATACGTTTTTATGTTTTTTTATAATCTAAAATAATATAAATCAAAAATTGATCATGCATAATAAATAACTTTTATAAAGTGTAATCATTCCTATTATTTGTATTTTGATATATGAGAGTGATCTCTAGTCACTAACTCTATTAAAAAGGAAAGGTTAATGACATCCCTACCATTTACCAATAGTACTCCTACCTCCTACATAATCATTTCTTTTTTCTTTGTTTTTTTATATTTTTGTTTTTTAGTTGTCTTTTTTTAGTACTAATTTTCTTTTAGTTATTTTATTTAATTATAATAATATTACTATTACAAATATTATTTATTATTCTGTAAAAAAATAATACTAAAAAATATTATTTTTTAATCATAATTTCTATAAAAATATTATATGTTTCTTTTCTCTTTTAAAATTTTTCCTTAAAAAACAATACCTTTTTCTAATAATTATTTTTAAGAAAAATATAACGATCCTTAAAAACGTAATTTTTTTAATAATTATTTATTAAAAAATAACATTTTTTATATTATCAAACTGCATATTAAATTTAATATAATAATAATATTATTAAATTCTTATGTATTAAAAAATATTTATTTAACAACTATCTAGATAGATTAAAAGTTGAGGAAACAATCACTTAAAAATCGTTTTTCCACTTATTTGATCTATGAGACAAGCAAACCATGATATGTAACATTTTTTTTTTTTGGTTTAAATGATCTAAGTAAACAATTTTTAAAAGTTCATGATTTATTAAATTAACAAATATATGTAAGAATGATTTTTTTTAATATAAATAACTATAATTCTGTGAATTACACTATATTAATTTTTTATATTATTTTATTCATAATTTTTTAATTACATTATTTTAAGAATATTAAAATAACCCAAGAAAATTGAAATACTACTTTTTGTAAAAGTGGTTACATTTTTCAAGTCATTTATAAAAATAACTTTTAAATTATACTATTTTAAAAAAGTTAAAATAATTTAAGTAATCAATTTTCAAAAAACAAAACTCAATCGTTTAATTATTCAAAAAAAAATGCAACAACTTAATTATTCAACATAAAAAGAGTTCAATAACTTATTTAATCAAAAAAATTAAAGAACTTAATAATTCAAAATAGAACAATTTCTTTAATTTCTTGAACTTTTTTCTTATTTAAATTCAATACAGATGGTTTTTATAAATATCTCATCCATTAAAGTAACTAATTATTCATAAAAATTAACTTTTAGATTAAATTATTTTAGGTCTTTTAAAATAATTATGATGAAACT